TATAGGCATTTAACCATTCTTACCAAAATGAACCTTTTCATTGTAAAAATTATTGACATTGTAATTCACTTACTGTTTACAGTAGCCCCCCTCCCCCCAAACAATAAGTGAAAAACCGCTAAGTAGGAATAGTTGTACAAGTAATAAGTACGTAGTAGTAAGTTTAGTTTAGTATATATATATATATATATATATATATATATATATATATATATATATGCGGTACATGGTAGGGATGCACGATATTGGATTTTTGCCTGATATCCGATATGCCGATATGTTAAAACTTATTTGGCCGATACCCAATGCCGATACTCGATGTCGATACCCGATACCGATATTTCATATATGTTCCTTTGTCAGAACATAGCCTTCTTATTTAGGTTTATTTGCAACTAAAATTGTGCAACAGCAGAAAGAGCTGGTGACATATATTCAGTAACAGCCATATGATATGCATAGCACTTTAACTCATATTAAGTGAAAAGTATTAAATGTTATTTATTAGCATTAGTCACCTGCGGTGCAGTCTCACTTGTGGAGGCTTGTTCCAGGTTCCTAGCTGCAGTGTGAGATCCTCTGCACTCCTGTGCATGAAGGACAGACTTTTTAAGTTCAAAGTTTTTGTCCATCCATTGTGCCGTAACACTAATCATGCTAACGGGGCTAATACGGCGTCCACATGTCTGTGGTAAAACTCACCCGAGTGCTATCGGATATTAGCTTCTCAATGATGTTGGAAATGGCAGCTTGTAACTCGGGGAACGTTACGCTGGAAAAATATCTCAGACTGGGGACGATGTAGCGAAGCTCAACGTAGTCCATAAATCTTAGGAACCCGACATCCTCAACAACAAAAAGTAAAACTTCCACACCGCCGACATTTTGAATTTTTCTCTCCGCCGTGAGATCAAGTAGGAGCACGTGACGTCATCGCGTTGTGCTGCCGCTGAAAGCAAAAACAGCGTCTTTTGCTTGTTCAAAATGAAAGTTCAGTGATGGAGTTAAACTCAAAGCTGCTCCTCAGATAAATAATGTTCAATTATTATTTTATAGATGAATGTTTCTGTTAAATTATTATTTTATAGATGAATGTTTCTGTTCAGTCCCTGAGTCCCTATCGTTGAGTTATTTTAATGGAATGGCCGATGTCCGATATTGAACTTCAATGCTAATATCGTCTGATACCGATACCATGCCGATAATATCGTGCATCACGGTAGAAACAATAGACATTTAGCCTATGATAGAGATCTGTATTCTACTGGCTAACCACAGTAATGCTTGTTGATGATGTAATTGGCTGGCGTCCAAACATAGAGCAAGCAGGTAGCAGTATGGCCGAGAGTGCAGGGGAGGAGCTCGTTAAAAAGGCAGGGGCAAAAACGTCTATTGTCGGGACCTGGTTCGGATTTAAACTGTCAAACCATGAGCAGAAACCCACGTTGGGGTGTCTGCGATCATGTTGCTTCACTTCGCGACAGATACGGAACCTTTCCATGATTTTTTCACTGCCCCCAGGAAAGGAAAGGCTTCCTTTGGGTCAAGATGACCCAAACCCAAACTGGTGGGGGTACTGTTAGTTTGCATCCTCGCCAAAAGTTCCCGTCGGCTTCTGGTCAAGGACAAGCTAGTGTTCTTGGCCAACAATCTTTAGACTCTAACAAATGATTCATGGAGCTTCAACACAGCACCCTCCAAACATGTCGACCGTCACACACATCGTCCATGAAGAGATTGGAACAGAGCACAAGATAATAAGACACTGATACCAAAGACAACAATAGACACAAATGATTCATACAAATTTATGTTTTTTGTTTGTTTGTTTGTTTTACAATTGAAAAACAGTATGTTATCCACTGTTGTCATCACTCTTTATTAAAGTCCAGGTCTCTCTTGTAAATGAGTTCTATTGGCTCATTGGGACTAACCTGTATCAATAAAGGTTGAATATATATATATATATATATATATATATATATAT